TTTGGCCCTTAATCTGGCCAGTCTGGGTACCATATTCGATCTCCACCACAATACTACTAGTACTTTAAATGCACAAAAACACCAAAATATATGTGAAATTTGACATGCAGACGTGATGTTGATCATGTCAAAGTACATAAATGTTTCCCCCCCCCCCCCCACAGGATAGTGTCATTATTTTACAACAAATCATGTTAACATTAACATCTGTTTTCTGGTGATGTTGTCTCATTGACATTGGCAATCAAACCACTTATTCACATTTCGTATTAAATATTCAGATAATTTAACACTTCTAATCTCAGACCTGGATGTAACAAAACTGAATTCAGTAAAAAAAATTGGAATTGATCAGACTTATCTGTTCCCAAGTCAGGACCTTTAACAAACTGACATTTGACTTATCATGCTTATGTTGAAACATTTTAACACCTGTCCCTGGGAACAGTATATGTTAATATATATGTTCCTGCCTGTCCTAAGTCAGCAATATGATATACAGTGGTTGTCATCTGTTTATGTAGTTCATACTGTTTCTCGTTTTTATATAGATTAGACTGTTGGTTTTACACTAGTAATTTTTGGGGCCCTTTATAGCTAGCTGTTCGGTGTGAGCCAATGCTCCGTGTTGAAGGCCGTACCTTGACCTATACTGGTTTACTTTTATAAATTGTTACTCGGATGGAGGGTTGTCTCATTGGCACTCATACCACATCTTCCTATATCTAAATATTCTGGCAAACTAATAAATTAGTCTCCCTTATTAAGCTTCAACAAACATTTATATATTATACATGTACATGTAGGTCTATCTATTGATCTTAATTCATAAAAAAAAAGGCAATTGATTTTCTAAGTTTATTCATCATGTTCATATTCATATCAACTAAGACTATATAGCTATATATATATATATCAATTATAATTAAACAGACATGTAAAAATCAACATCAAGTATAACCTTGATAACTGGTATATGTGGTACATTTCATCAATCTTCAATATGTATGATATGCCCTTAATGTGGAGCACACATAGAAAGAAAATAGTTCTAATGCATGTAACTACTTTAACTTTATAAAAATGAAAGATGAAAAGTTGCATTTTAAAACAATTGAGGGCAGAACGTAAAGAACATATCCTACAACATGTACAATATTACTGGTATATACTGAACAGGCGAAAAGTATTTACTTAAATTTAACAAAATTAACATGTGCTGTATATTTTGTTGGAATTTTTCTGCATAATTTCGAAAAATTTACAAAAGTCACAAAATAGATTCTTCTTAGTAAAAAAATGTGATTCACTTCTTAAGATTCTATCAACTTCATATTAAGATAACATACCAGTGCATTTTATATCATCTGTGCTCACTTTAAAAAAAAAAAACACACCAGTACATGTACTTACATTAAGCAGTTACATACATGTAATGTATAAAAATCTGTACACATGCAAGAGAAGCACTGAAATTTTATGGCATTAAAATAAACAACACAAAGACAAATCTAACAGCATGTTGTCATAAATGTATGAAGAAAACAAAGCACTAAAAGTATCAAAAACTCTTACAGATTATAATACATATATTAATAACATTCTTCAAAAGACAGAAATGTTAGAATTCACTTAACTACTGTTTGCGGTTATCAGCTTTGTCTTTCAAAACTTTCCTTAGTGGCTTCTCATGTTGTGTTGTGCAGTTAGGTATTTGAAGTTGCACTGCACGTGCTAAGGAATGTCCACGGATTGTTAAAAATAAGGAAACACATGATTCCATGATATATAAAGAAAATTCATTGTCGTCACACAAAATTTCCCAGTAATAATTCACCATATATGCAGAAACTATAACTTCTTTTAGGTGTGTTAGCATAAGTGTTTGTGAATTTACATTGCCAAGGTCAATACTTTGCCGGAGAACAATTTCACAATGTCGGATGAAATAGTAGAAGTTGTCACTTGGAATTTTGAGTCCTCCCCTGTTTAATTTCTCAGTCCACTCTGCAAACTTTTTGACATGCTCTTGTAGCATAGATGACTGTCTGACAACAAAATTGGTCATAGCTTCACGAATTTTTTGGTTTTTCAAATTTTTGTGTTGGTATGTTTTCTTCTGAAGCTTTGAAATTATGTACCCTGAAATGTAGTATAACACTGATTGGTCTGAATTTGTCATTGTGCTATCTAGCTTGGTTGCATTCTTTTGGTAAAGCTGCGCACGGTTTTTTACTAGACACTTCAGTAGGGCATCTTGTAGCACCGATAAGAACAGCTTGGCGGAAAGTTCACCTTCAAATTTAATGTTCTCAAATTCAGATGAAACAATAGCAGATATCTTAAATTGGAATTCATTATCAACTGTTATTTTATAAAAAGATGAGAAAAGTTTCTCAGATGTATTTAAATCTGTATTGCAGTCAGACTCTACTTTTTCAAACAAGTTTGCGAAAACAGGTGCTAGTTCTGCTGACAATTGTGTGTTTGCCTGTTGAGTTGTTGCATAATATTTAGTAATTGCCAGAATACCTTTCCCATGTTTAGAACGGCTACTGTTCCGGAAAGGACTGTTCATAATGTTTTCTAATGCTTGTTGATATGAAGTTTCAAAGATCTTAGTAAATTCTTCTGGGGTCATACTAAAAGATGTTTTTTTGATGTATTTTTCTGTACTCCCATCTTTTCTGTGCTCTGAAACTATAAAACAAGAAAAAAATATAGCATTTTTTCTACATTTTACATTTATTATAGACTAATAGATCATTATTCCAGTTTCACATGTGATACATGTATCATTTGTGGGTCAGTCTGTCCCTGATCATGCTTATTTTTATATTTGAATGTAAAGTTTAATAATATATAATTGTTTTAATTTGGTACCAACAATTTTTCGTTAGGTTGCTGTCTCAATAGTGCATCTGTGTCATTAGATATAATGGCGAACCTAACATGATTCGAAAAACATATATTTTATTTTTTTAACCATTTGATATTGTAATATGTAGGCTCGGAACAGTAAACAAAATACATGTATATGTATATTTTGACAAAGATATAAATAACCAAATAGAGCTGAGTACAAATTTATGTCTTGAGACAAAGTATGATTACTCTTTTTATACCATGTTATACTGCAACAGTGAAATTCCCCACAAAATGATTTTTAATTATGGTTAAAAGCAACAATTTGAAATGTAAAAGAAAAACCAATTGCATTATAAATGAAAATATAAGTTATCTATCAGTCACTTTACAGGGATGTAAAAAAAAAAAAAGATTTTTTGGTCGAGCAAGTCGCAGAAAACTCGACATAGGGATAGTGATCCGCCGGTGGCGGCGTTAGCTAACTTCTTAAAAGCTTTATATATTAGAAGCTAGAAGACCTGGATGCTTCATACTTTGTATATAGATGCTTTATGTTCCGAAGTTTCCGTCTGTCATATGTCCATTGTCCTTGACCTCATTTTCATGGTTCAGTGACTACTTAAAAAAAAAGTCAACATTTTTTGTAATGTTAATTTCTTTCTTATTGTGAGTAATAGGATAACTATATTTAGTATGTGCGTACCTTGCAATGTCCTCATGCCCGTCAGACAATTTTCATTTGACCTCAACTTCATTTCATGGATCAGTGAACAAGGTTAAGTTTTTGTGGTCAAGTCCATATATCAGATACTATAAGCAGTAGGTGTTTGGTATATGGAATGATTGTAAGGTGTACATGTCCAACTGGTTGTTGTCATCTGACCTTGACCTCATTTTTATGGTTCAGTGGTCAAAGTTAAGTTTTTGAGTTTTGGTCTTTTTTCTAATACTATATGCAATAGGTCAGCTATATATTTGGTGTATCGAAATATTTTATGATGTACATGTCAGTCAAGCAGGTTTTATTTGATCTTGACCTCATTTTCACGGTTCATTGTTTAGTTTTTGTGTTTTGGTCTGTTTTTCTTCAACTATGAGCAATAGATCAACTATATTTGTTGTATGGAAGGATTGTAAGGTGTATATGTCTGTCTGGCAGGTTTCATCTGACCTTGACATCATTTTCATGGTTCATTGGTCAATGTTAAGTTTTCATGGTTAAGTTTGTTTCTTAGATACTATAAGCAATAGGTCAACTATATTTAATGCATACATTGATTGTAAGGAGTACATGTCTGTCTGGCATGGTTCATCTGACCTTGACCTCATTTTCATAGTACATTGGTCAATGTTAAGTTTTCTTGGTTAAGACTGTTTCTTAGAAACTATAAGCAATAGGTCAACTATGTTTGGTTTATTGAATGATTGTAAGGGTACATGTATTTCTCGTTTGGTTTATCTGACCTTGACCTCATTTTCTTGGATCATGTTAAGTTTATGTGTTACTTGTAGTAAAGCTTTATATTTAGGACTTTTAACATAAAATCAATGGTTAGTAAAGAAGGCGAGACATTTCAGCATGTGCACTCTTGTTTTTCAACATTAGTATTGATACGGACAACTGCAATAATGATGCAAGTGGGGCATTTGTGTACTAATACATATTCTTGTTTTTGATATTTTTATGCCCCCGCCGTAGCGGAGGGGGCATTAAGTTTTACCCTTGTCCATTTGTACGTTCGTACATACGTACGTCCCAAAATTGGTTTCCATTCTCTAACTTTAGTTTGCCTAAACCAAATGTTATGAAACTTATACACAATGCTTATTACCACAAAACACAGATTAAGTTTGAATTTTGGTGGCGTGACTTTTACCGTTCTAGAGTTATGCCCCTTTACAAATGGAAAAATTGCTGAATTTTTCGTTTCTGTTCTCTAACTTTAGTTTTCATGGTTTTCCTCAACCAAATGTTATGAAATTTATACACAATCCTTATTACCACAATACACAGATCAAGTTTGAATTTTGGTGGCGTCACTTTTACCGTTCTAGAGTTATGCCCCTTTAGAAATGGAAAAATTGCAAAAATTTTATTTTTTCATATATATGTTGCTTATTGATTTAATTATGTACTATTTGCAGATAATGCCTCGAACAGCAAGGAGACGTAGAATTGGCTACAGGGATAAGAGAAGGAGGGTTGTGAAAACCAAAGATTTGGATGCCCATACCATTGAAGAGCAACATATACTTATTGATTCAGATGCCCATACCATTGAAGAGCAGCATATACTTATTGATGGTAAGTTGTATTAAATGACCAAAAACTGAAAGGGGGAACGCACTGACTATAGATAAATGCATTGTGTTTAAAGATCATGTTTATTCAACGGTTTCTACATTGCTTCATCTAGTATATTCATGGCCTTCTGTCTATGGTTCAGTGATTCAATACATATATATCAAATTAACTGAATTTGGCAGAGTTAAACATGAAAGCAGGATCCCAACCCTCCCCCTAACCTGGGACAGTGGTGTTACAGTACAACATAAGAACTAACTATAAAATTCTGTTGAAAAAGGCTTAACTCATCAGATGGATACAACTAGAAATACATTTCACAAACAAATAAAAAAAAAAAAAAAAGGGAGCAGCCACCTTTGGAAAAATATGTCTGGTCACAGAACAGCATGAAAAATATACTGAATTGTTTTGAATAAAGAAAACTCTTTTATATTCTCCAAGATTTAATATAATCATGATGATGAAACTTCCTCAGTTCCTGACATTTTTCTTTGCAACCTTGCATTGATTATAACCTTTTAAAATTGGAAATGTATTGCAATTGACAAAAAAATAATATTTTAATTAAATTTAAACATGTTTTGTCAAAATTAAAGAACAACTGTAATAAGGTTTAATTATCTTGGAACAGGTGTTTTACAGGTAAAAACCATATTTTTCTTAAACTCGTGTATTACTTATCAAGTGAATTTAAAAAGTCTTGTGATTTAAAAGTTTTACAGGATATTGTAATTTCAGTGGATGTTATGTAAAATTTATTAATCTCTGACCAGGTGTGATCTTTTTAATTGGTGTGTCCCATACATGATGTATAACTTTGTAGTTTACCTCTAAGCCGAAGAACAATTTTATTAATTTCTTTAATTTTTTTCCCTTTATAACTCACAAGACATAAAGTCACAATTCAGTTTTGAATTTTTTTTCTTTAAAATAGGAAACACTTAATTGAAAATAAAATGGTAGTTTTTTCTTGAACTTTTATATATGAGGCAACTTTGTAATTAAAATTTATTCAATAATGATCAAATAATTGTAATGAAAACAACATGTCAAAGTGGCTTGGTACTTAATTGGCTTCATTTTGCATCGAAATATATCCTTTTCATTATTAAAATTTAATAAATTTTCATATATCAAGGCTTACATACAATTTCCTAAATATGTAATGGAGAGCAAATATTTCAAGATCTTTCTCTTTATATATTTATGTTATTTAAACAATTGTCAACAAATTAGTTGTGACTTTTTGTCCTGTGACTTGCTGTCCGTTTACCTTTAAAATGTATCTATTGCTTTATTTCAAATTATAATAAGAATAGATCTGTTTCTGATGGTTAACATACAGAAAGTCACAGGGCATAAAGTCACAAATATTTGATAATTATTTGAATTTATGGCATAAATTTTAATTACAAAGTTGCTTAATATTATAATCATGATAATAGTTAAAGAAAAAAACAAGATCAAGTTTGAATTTGGTAGCTTCACTTTGTCCGTTCTCAAGTTATTTCCCTTAATTATGTTGTTTGCAAGCAGGGGCATAATCTGTGCCCCATGGACACATTCCCAAATTATATTTTATCAATTTAGTAAAATTACAATTTTTATTGCAGATACGTATACAGATACAAGGTTTTGGCCCATCACTGAATTGACAGAAATAGGTGATATAAGCAGTGTTCAGTCACCAGCTTTCCTAATTGAGCAAGATGAGACCAATGAAAATATCGAACATTATGTTGTGTTAGATAAAGTCTACCAATATGACCCAAATAACAGCCTCGAAGAATTTGTAACAACCAAGAGGGAAGAGCAATATTCCGCACTGAAAAGAAGTTGTCAGAAGCTTGTTGAGGACACTCTATATGCACAGGTTGAATTTATGCGCTCTTCTGAAATTATAAGATATGTATCTGTTTATGATAGTGACAATCCAGGAGTAAAGTTCATTTGTACAATAAAGAAGAATTACTCAGCAGAAGTATTTGTTCATGGCAAGAGATTGAGTGATCAACACAACCTTTGGCACACATTACCAGGAAAATTTGTTACAATTCAGCAGGTTGAAAGTCTCTTGAATGTTCTGCTTAATTATGATGTATGCATTGGTAATCCAGATGAAGAGCTACAGATTTTATGTTCCGGAAAATTGGCCTATGTTGAAACTGGTTATGGGGCTTACCGTGGCGACTGTGCCTACCAAAGTACAATCCGAACCATATCATGCATGTTATTGACTGACAGGTGGAAACCAAGATGTAAGAATTGCATTACCTATCGTAAAACTGTAAAAAAGCAAGCAGCTAGAAGAAAACTTAAAACACCTACACCAAGTAAAAACTGGTTAACATCCAAAAAAGGAAACAGTCGATTAACTGATTCAGAGAAAGTGGAAAAAATTAAACAGTTAAAGAACTACAATAGTAACTTAGAAAGTCAGGTTGCAGCACTGAAGAAGAAGGTTGAAAAGTCCATTAGATCTGAAGGTGTATCGCTTAGTGAAATGTATATATTGAGGAACTAAGATACCTAAAAAATATTGTTTCTACAATTCCCTTAGAAAAAAGTGAAAAGCTTACACAACTTTATCAAACATAATAAAAGGTAACTATTTGATAAAAAGTAAGCTCATGGGCAATCATTCCACATCTAGTCTCATTTATGTTTTTAAAGCAATCGGAGAAAAGAACACAATTAAATATATATAGATGTGAAAATAAGCAAATACCTTTAATACTTGTAATGCCATGCTTTTGGCGTACATGACCTCTAAACCCAGCAATTGACTTGTACGTCTTATCACAATCTGGACACTGATAAAAGGGTGTGTTGAGCTGGCTAGGCTGAGATTGTGTTGTTGCTGCAGCCTTAGACTTTTTGGCAGGTGAAGGTTCAAACTCTTCATCTGAAAACTCTGCAGTTTCAGACTCTGTGTAGCATTCTAGTAGAGCATCAAGGTCGATATCATCAGACCAAGATAAGAAGTTCTCTTTGTCGTACATGGTTAGCAAATGAATGATTTGGATTTACAAACTTCATTCTAGAAGTTGTTGGCTTGTGTGTTTTTTGTCATGAATGTTGAGGAATCATGATCAAAGCAAGTCCTCTCTGTCGGCTTGGGGTGTTTTTCATAATATTTTCATCATTTTTAATTAGGATAATCATTTCTTTAATTGCGTTAATCAAATCTTTTGATCCGCAATCAAATTCAAAACTAGAATATAATCTGCTAAATAAACAGTTTTATGAAAAACAATTATTATTGGAACCTTAACTTAATGAGGACTTGTATAAACACAAAACGTTTTTTAGTCAAACACTAGAATAATGTTTTCCTCAAGCTTTATGTCATTATTTCACAATGGTTCTTTATTTAAAAGAATTATTCATGGCTTACTAATTAAAGAATGGAAACAAAAATATATCGTTTAAGAACTAGATTTTTTTTCTCTCAAGATAAAACGATTTCCTAGAAGAGGTTTGTTTTTATTTTATAAAAAAACAGTGTCCAAAAAACTATTTATTTAATTGTTGAAAAGTTTATAATTTAGTTAATACATTTGAAAAGGGAATACGATTATATCAATAATTTGCCAATTTTTATCCCATATTTCTCTTTTTATTTATTTGTATATTTATAATAGTGATTCATTAGGTTTTTATTTTAATGTTAAAAGAAAAAAACAAGTTTCCAAACCAATAGTTTTGAGCTGTTTCGAATAAGAAATGTAAAGCCGTTAATTATCGATTACAACAGCGAATACGTATTTTTCACATGTCCGTTTCCGTATCGAGTCATTTATTAATTTACGACACGACGATGAAATCGGCTATAATTAGGTAGTGTCAAGTCCCGTTAATATATATGTTCCTGGTATCAAACAACACTGTTTCTGTATTTCACGCGTAAGTATGGTATATAGTCATGTAAATGTAACCCAAATAACGCCTCTGAACTTTACGTAAACCTTTTGATATATTATGTTCAATTCAAATCCAATTATTGCCTAGAGATAGAACATCTGCTTCATCAACAGACAAAAACTGAATAATACATTAATCTATAATACACGAAGTACTTATATACATTCTAGTTTTCAAACTATTCATATTGTTTATACAAAAACATGTCACATTTATGGTTTGTTCATCGATGAACATATACAAACAGTATAATATAGATCTCATAATGGTTCACATGGTTCACGCTTGTTCATTAAATTGAGTTTGTATCTTTTTTTTCAAATCGAGTGAATGAACTTTATCGAATTGTAAAAACGCGAAAGATGACACTTGAAAACTGTAAGAGAAGAAAGCCAGGGAAATTCAAAGATCCAACTCTTCTGTTGAAACACATTGTATAAAAGCGACGGGTTCAGGGATTCGCCATACCTAACTCGTAATTAGGTCATAACTAGATCAGACAGAACAAAGTTCCCATAATATGTTGCAATTCTTCATTAGTATATGTGCTTTGTATCATGAAAAAAAAACCAGGTATATGATTAAAAATAGACAGCAATTCAACGACAAACTGTGATAACAAAATACATCTCGGGTGGGGGGAAGGGGGCAACATACAGTATTCATCAAAAGACAGGTGTATATATAGTATGTCAAGCTCTTAATCGTTCCGAGTCAGTTTTAAGGTTTAGAATAATTTAACACACACAATCCAAGATATTCAATAAACTCAAAATTCTCCATATATAATCTTAATTGTAGATCTTGTCTTGCTGATCATTTTTTGCTTATTTAAGTTTCCATCAATCTATATTATTTTTTAAGATATAAGGTGAAAACGCAAATAATTGGTAAAAATCTTCATCAAAGGGCAATTACTCTAATAAGGAGTTGACTGACAATTTCGACCATTAGACTTATTTGTAGAACTTGTCTTGTTGATCATTTTTTGCATTTTAAAGTTTCTCTTTATCTATTATAGTTTTCAAGATAGTAGGCAAAAATTTAAAAAAAAAGTCGTCTTACAGTTAACACATATGAACAATTGGTAGAGCTCAACAATCTGAACATTTTTGCTCTTGTCAGATTTTCTCTATTTATAACGGTTTTCAAAATAATAGACAAAACTTGCATTTTACCCCTATGTTCTATTTTAAGCCATGTCGGCCATCTTAATGACACAGTTTTTAAACTGGATACCCCAATGATGATTGTGGCCAAGTATGGTTAAATTTGGCCAAGTAGTTTCAGAGGAGAAGATTTTTGTAAAGGTTAACAGACAATGGAAAATCGTCATTAATGGGCAATAACTCCAATAAGGAGTCGTCGGACGATTTCCTCCATGATGTCTTAATTGTAGATCGTGTCTTGATGATCTTTTTTGCTTATTTAAGTTTCTATCTATCTATTATAATTTTCAAGATAGTAGGCAAAAATGATAAAAAATGGTAAAATTTGTCATTTAAGGGCAATAACTCCTGGAAGAAGTCGTCTGACAGTTTTGACATATATAAACAATTGGTAGAGCTCAACATTCTGAACATTTTTGCACTGTCAGATTTTCTTTCTTTATAACGGTTTTCAAAATAAGACAAAACTGGCATTTTACCCCTATGTCCATTTTTAGCCATGTCGGCCATCTTGGTTGGCAGGCGGTGTCATCGGACACATTTTTTAAACTACATACGCCATTGATGATTGTGGCCAAGTTTGGTCAAATTTGGCCCAGTAGTTTCAGAGGAGAAGATTTTTGTAAAAGTTAACAGACGAGGACGGACGACGGACGACGGACGTCAAGTGATGAGAAAAGCTCACTTTGACCTTTGGGCATGTGAGCTAAACATGAACATATCACAATAACACAATGGCGGGATGTATAAATACCGAGCCAAGCCTAAAGGATATTACCAAAAATGGACTAAACAGTAAAGGTTAAAAAATATAAAAAACAATTAAAAAGAACACTATAACACGTAATTAAGATGATAAAGAACGTCAGTACCTAGAATCTATACTTCAAGACCATTGTGTATTATTTCTGAAGTTGATGCAGAATATTTACCAACAAGGTCTTGGTATCTTCTGATGAACTTTTTTAGAAAAAGGACGAGACGATTTTTGACATAATCCTGGTCCGTCAACTTTCTGCTCAGACACTGGTGACATTTAAAAAGTATGAGTAGCAGCTGCAAGCTCTTAAATATCGAATGAGTTGGGAAATGTATATCCCATATGCAGGTGAAGTTAATACAAAATGTATATTACTGATAAGGTGGGGGAAATTTATAATTTAATAAAATGCTCCGCTGGGCGCAGCTTGATACGACCGCAGAGGTCGAACCCTGAATAGTTGGGGTAAGTATGGACACAACATTCAAGCTTGATACAGCACTGAATTTGGATTGTGATTAAATATTTGACACAGCATAGGTTTCTGACACAGAATGAAAGTGGTCTAAGAACTTAATTTTTTTTAATTTACCTATTCAAACCATATTATTGTTATTCGCTTTTATATATTATCAGAAATAACCAATTTAAAATCGAAAATTTTAAAGAAAAAAAAAGGAAAAAAAGGAAAAAAAAATCCCCCCCCCCCCAATTTTTTGAACCCCCTTATGATTCATCACACCCAAACTCAATCCCAGCCTTCCCTTTGTGGTATAGTATCTTGCAGTACAATTTCAGAGAGATCCATACACTTGATCACAAGTTATTGTCCTGTAACTAGAAAAATGCTTGTTTTATGCCCCTTTTTGGCCCCTAATTCCTAAAATTTTGAGGCAATTACCCCCAAAATCAATCCCAGCCTTCCTTTTGTGGTATGGTACCTTGCAGTACAATTTCAGAGAGATCCATACACTTGAACACAAGTTATTGTCTGGAAACTAGAAAAATGCTTATTTTTTGACCCCTTATTCCTAATCGTTCTGGGCAATTACCCCCAAACTCAATTCCAGTTTTCCTTTGTGATATGAAACCTTGTAGTACAATTTCAGAAAGATCAATACACTTACACACAAGTTATTGTCATGAAACTAGAAAAATGCTTGTTTTTTGCCCCTTTTTTGGCCCCTAATTCCTAAAATTTGAGGCAATTACCCCCAAAATCAATCCCAGCGTTCCCTTTGTTATATGGAACCTTGTGGTACAATGTCAGAGAGATCCATACACTAACACACAAGTTATGTCTGGAAGTTACAAAAATGCTTATTTTTGGCCCCTTTTTGGCCCCTAATTCCTTAACTGTTGGTACCATAACCCCAAAAATCAATCCCGACCTTCCTTTTGTGGTATTGAATTTTATGGTAAAATTTCATAGAGATCCATTCACTTAAACTAAAGTTAGAGTGCGAAAACCAATGTGTCTTCGGACGACGACGACGCCAGACGACGACGACGACGACGACGGCAACGACGACGCCGGACGACGACGACGACGCCAACGTCATACCAATATCAATATACGACCACAAAATTTTTTTGCGGTCGTATAAAAATTAAAATCGTCACGTTTGTCATAGATTCTGGTACTGAGATAACCGCTTATGTTAAATTCGAGGTATAAGTCTGAAAATGAGGCGGAGGAAGCCGTGTCTATTGTTTCTTTAATTTATAGTTCTGGAAGATATATTTAATGGAACCCACTCAGAAAAGTTTGGATTGTTAATGGAAAGAACATCATCAATATATCTGAATGTGAAAATTAAATGATCTTGCTTCTTTGGTCTTCTTGTTTTTGAAAAGTGTTTGAAGGAACTCCCGCAAGACATTTTACGCTGCTAGACGCTAAACATGCTAAACAAACAATTGTTTGTGTTTGGATGCATGAACGCAGTACATGGTAGTATGAGCAAAATAAATGCTAAAAAATAAGTCTTACAATTAATACAATAAACTATAGGGAAGTGTAGGAGAAGAAAAGAAAAATAGGTACATTTTATTTGATATTTCGAAATATCATAAACGAAGAGAAGATGAGAAATAAAAACCGGGAAAAAAATCGCGTAAATACTGGAGACTAATGATTCTGTCTTGGAATTAAAAATAAATTAAACCGCATCAAAAAAAGTTAAGCTGCAGATTTTTTTTTCAGACGCGCGTAATTACAGATTTGAGATCAGGCAGATAAGGTTGGTAACTCATGTTAGTAATTTTCGTGTTGACAAAGAAAATTGAAAAAAAATGATCAACTGAATTTTAGATGCTTGAGAGTAAATGTAACTTAACTAGTTGATATATACACATTTAAAGATTAACATTCTTTTTTTTTTCATTTTTCCACATGCATCAAACTCATACAAGACAACAACGGACAAGTCAATCTAAATTGAGGTAACTTGAAGTCCGTTCAAGAAATGAGCTTAAGCCTTTTTCAACTGATTTTTATAGTTTGTTCTTATGTTGTACTGTTACACCACTGTCCCAGGTTAGGGGAGGGTTGGCGCATTCAAGCGAGTTTATGTGCCTGTCCCAAGTCAGGAGCCTGTAATTCAGTGGTTGTCGTTTGTTGCTGTGTAACATGTTTGTTTCTTGTTCATTATTTTGTACATAAATTAGGCCGTTAGTTTTCTCGTTTGAATTGTTTTACATTTGTCATTTCGGGGCCTTTTATAGTTGACTATGCGGTGTGGGTTTTGCTCATTGTTGAAGGTCGTACGGTGATCTATAGTTGTTAATTTCTGTGTCATTTGGTCTCTTGTGGAGAGTTGTCTGATCTGGAATTATACCACATCTTCTTATTTTGATATTAGTTGCATTACGGACATTTTTGGATAACTGGATTACGAAGGCGATTGTGGATACTAAAGTATATGTTTCAGCTAATTGAAATACTAAGTCTTGTCCACGTATTGACTTAAAAACTTGACTAAGTGTAAATACGAAGATATTTACAAAGTGTATGAACAAGTATACGTGTCAAAAATATTAAAATATTAGCCATATGTATATATTATAAAAATTATATAATAGCCATTATTATGTATATTTCTGAGTCTGCGCTAAGTAAAGATATATCGAGAATTTTATCACGGTAGTGTTTACAAAGCGAAAGAAGCATGTCATATTAGAATATTTATTTACAAACTGTGTATAAAAAATATGAATAGTAACTATATCAGTCCATGGAAGTATAATTTAAATATTACTTCATAGGCTACAGATTACACACATATGATAATGTTTGGATGTAAACATCCTTGGCTAACAGTTTGGATACCTGCTGTTTATTTTCCCCCATATAAATTCCATCATTCTTGGCGACAGCTTAGTCGCTGTTATCCGTTTAGAATTGACAAAATCACATGCTTTGGGCGGAGTATCATACCAGAATGTAAAGCCATTAATATGCTGGTGTTTAGTTCTTATTGATTTAGCCAAAATACCAGTGATATACGCATCCTCTATTGGTAAATACGGCATGTACTCGGAAGCCTTTACAAGTCTATTTGCAATATTTCTGGATACTAAATATGTATTTCCAAACATATAGTTCGGGTAATGCGGAAATGGGTATGAATCGATCCCTACTTTCCATAGCCCATTGCGTCTGACTTTGCCGTCTCTATTTAGTTTTCCGATTATGACTCCTCTATAGTCAAATGAGACGTTTGTTTGTAGAACGTGTAATAAATATGGAGTATTAACAAATGTGTCGTCGTCTGCTTTCAAAATAAACGTTGCATTGTAACAGAACAAATGTGACCATTCTAATCCCATTAAAATGTTTAATGTCAAATTATAATATGAATCCATAAAATCTCCTTGTAAAATGTCCTTAAAAACTCTGCTTTCCTTTCGTATGTTATCGTTCCATGAAGTGTTCAAGCTATATCCAACCAGGAACACATGTCTAACTAATGTAGAAGATGCCATTGTCCACGTGGAACGTATTGCATGACGTTGTCGACTGTTCTGTACTTTTGAAGGAATAATAATTATTAAATACGTTCTTCCATCACATAAATTTTCGTTCATTAAAGTAAAGTTTACTGAAAACGGGTTAATTTTATTTTTACGTAAAATGAAATAGTCGGCATACCGTTCATCTTGTGTTTTGCGCTTTCCATCTCCATTTAATGTAAAATTCTTCTGACTTACAATTTTATGGCTGTAGAACTTGTGCCACATAAAAAGTATTGCGAATATAAACACGGCTACTATGATCATTGCTTTGCCAATCCATTTTGAGAGTTTGCATGGCTTTTTGGTCATCTGAAAATAAAACTTTTTATTATTGACCCCTATTTTGTCATGTTGAGCGCCCGATACAAGTATAAAAGGGTCGATGAAATTATTTTCTTGAATTGTTAATTGTCGTTTATGATATATTAAAAAAAAATTCAAATTCCAAAGTGGAAATCGAGTATTAAACTTTTTAATGCTAAAAGTATTAAACTGAACTTTTTAAAAAGTTATCCTTGCAAAATACTTATTCGCAATATAAACAAATTAAATGTTAATCAAACGAAATATCTTTTGTGTACTCTTCTTCTTCTGTTGCTTTTTTTTTTTTGTTTTTTTTTTTAACTTTTGAATGAATCAAAATTTATATTCATTCAATAGGATTTTTTTTTGTTCGAACATTTTTTCATTGAACTGTGGAAGAGTTAAATTTATTTAAGAATTTAATCCAATTTGAAAAGAACGAAAAAAAAATAACTACTAGATATTTGTAACTAGTCTTCCATTTTTTGAAGCCTAAAATACTGCAAATAGATTATAAAGAATTGTACTGCAATTCGCCCTGTAAGAACAAATTTAATTCTTATTACAAAAAAATGAGAAAAAAATATCTAGTCCTGAAAAACTCATCTCCTCCTCCTTCCTTTTCCCCTATTTTTTTTTCTTTAATTTATTTTGTTTCTTTAGAAGTATTATTTTATCATACATGTATAAGGAAAGGGGTATTTAAACTTTATCGGAGAATTTGGACACGCGGTGAGCCTCTTTCTACCAGCTTAACATGCAGATTTATTTCACTTCAACAAAGTTATTTATAGAACTTGTATATTGTATAAACAAAATAAACATGATAAAGTTCTTGCTGAAACATTTGTTGTGTTTTTTCTGGGTTTGTTCAATTTTACTGTACTATTTTAATACTTTTTTTTCTCATTGAACTACTAGTTAAAGGTTAATCATTATATTAAAAGTCTGTTGGTAAGCACAAATAGATGTTTAAGACATAATTTAGCTGGCAAAGAATTAAGTAAAGTACTACTTGAACTACACAAACACTTAACGATTACGTTGAGCAGCATTTCAGTAAAAGTTTATATATTATATAATATAGGTACATACCTCTGGTTCAGTTACATGGAACAAATCGTTTTTGAGCCAGAAATGATTTTGATTTGGGGATCTTTCATGAAATATTCTCATCGCATTCATAATTGTTATCATCTCCCGGAAGCTATCTTATTTCAACAGCTTCTTTATGTTATGATAAATGACCTTTGAACTTGTGAATTTACACGTGAGTATACATGATAAGTACTGCCTGATTGTGCATGCTGATATTTATCATACATCGGTAACAGGGGGAAATCTGTTCAAATTGGTTACCAACAGTATGAAGACCTATTTGATTTGGGAGATTTTTGAAGGATAATTCACAGGTACATATATTTTTTTCATTTGTTTTGACTTGAATTACTTCACATGTGATCATTATTCATTAAACAAAGATGTTTACCATGGAAGATATATTACAAAATATTAAAACTATGCCTATAACTATTCATTTTAAGATGACCGCAATTTCATAGAGTTTCATTTCATGTAACCTGCATTAGAAATTGTCAAGTTATACGATCGAAAAATATAAATGATGATAGCCGCAATGTCATTTTGTAATGGATCACTCTGAGTAGATTTTTTATATATATATTTCTATGTCATTAACTTTATCTCTGACAATTAAAATCCTTCTCCAATATTTTAATAATTAAAAGTTACATTTCAGGTTTTATCAGTATAAAAATGTGGCTCAGAGTTACATTACTTCCTTAGGGAGCTACCATTTGATTTTTTTTTTTGGGGGGGGGGGGGGGGGGGGGGGGGCTAGGATGAAAAATTGAGTCCTGCATTTTTTTTTTAGTTGTAATCTCTGTCCTGCCTTTTAATTTTTCACTCTATTCGGTCCTGCCTTTTATTTATTGGTTTATCCTGACTTTTTTTTACATAAATTGTCATCCTGCCTTTTTTTTTTGCCAAGTTGCTCATCCTGGTTTTTTTTTTTTTAATCAAAACTCCTGTCCTGCCTTTTTTCAAATTTCATCCTAGCCCCCATAAAAATCAAATGGTAGCTCCCTTAGCATTAATACCTATGTTTCTTAGCTGAACAGTAATTTAATGTGTTCATAAAAAAGAATATTTAATAGAAAAGGGTTTACAAGAATGAATCGTTCAGAAGTAGAAATTCTGTAAAAAAATACGAGTGATATTTTTCAGGTGACAAATACATAAACTTCTAATTTTTATTAATGACATAATCTTTTTTATCCCAGATTATAATTAAAATTCGCTAGTACAGTAGCACTTGCCAACTGTCAGTGTATTTTAGAAATGTAAATGATAGTGAACAGAATGTAAAATATTTGAAAAAAAATCCATAAAATTGAAAACTGATGCTGCTGCTCTTGAATGATAAATATTTTTCTTTATATATTTCATATTTCAGCAATTAAAGAATAGTACTTTTCGTATATTGGTGTGAAAATTGTTTATTTTTGGAGATTGTAATTTTAAGTTGACAAGAATTTCCCATATACATGTAATAAAAAATTCTGTTTTGTATGTAAAAAAATATGTATGTGTCATAGACCCCGCTAACACTTGTAAAAACGATCGATCTTAAAAAGATTGATCTTTAGTCTGATTTAAACGGGAAAGGCCGATCCTCAATCGGACTTAAAAAGTCAACCTCCTGAGGTGGTTTTAAAAAGATCTATCTTTATATTTTGAATCGATCTTTCTTCAAGTGTAAACGCTAAGATCGATCGCGATCGATCTTTCTTCAAGTGAATATCATATTTAGATATGAAAATAAATCTGCACATGTTCGGCGGCAAAATACACACGTGTTTAAAAACGATGGATGGGATAAGAACAGTAAATATAGATTCCGCCGTTTTTGGATCATTCTTCTGAATCGATAAATTCTATTTCTTTGCTGCAAATCCTTATCTTCAAATGCAGTGACCTTTCATTTTTAAGTGGTAGTCTTCTCACATTTCTTTGTTTAATAAATTGTGACGTTCGAACCAAAAAGATAATTAATAACTGCATACGAAATTCCAATGATCCAACTATTTTCTACTGCGGGATTGTCCTTGCGAGATGCACACGTTATCATACTATTCTATTTTTACGATTATTTGTTTACGAAATGTAAAGTAATCAGGTCAGACCCGTTCTTTTTATTTTGCAGTGTAAACGCACTAGATTAAATAAGAATAGATCGATCTTGCTTGTGCAAATATTAACTCGAACTGGTCTTTTTTAAGATCGATTCAAATAAAGATCGATTCAATTTCGTACAATTGTAAATGGGATCTTACTGTAACGTATTTAGTAAAAGGGAACTTAATAAAATATGGATTTCATATGTAAGTATATCAACTTTAGCGTCATTTGTCCTCAAAATATTGAATTCGAGATTTTTTGTCAAACAAATAGATTACCGATAATTTTTAGGACCATCATGATGAAGCAATAACAAATAAAACATAATTATTTCAAACAATTTTTGATGTCGGTTTCAAATTTGAATATGAAAATTCTATAATTTTTCAATATCAATTATAGTAAATGCCATTTTTAAAGAGTCCTTTCGAACGTCTTTTTTTAATTGATTTCGCTGACTCTTTGTGGTGGTTGCCTATTGTAACGCCTCCTACATATGTACTATGGTTGCTGTGGCTGACTATTGCGACGCCACATAATTGAATCCCATTGTTGCTGACTACGGCCTTTTATTAGGAGTTGCTTTCCGACAAAAATAGCACGAATAGTAGTGATGTTATACAGTCTTATAAGTTATATTAACTAACATAAAAGATCATATAGTCTATAACCAATCTATTATTTGTTTTTTTTTATTAATTTATTTTCTTGTTTTTTGTGTTCAGAAATCTGTTATTTTTTTTTCATTCTACTGCTTTTGTGCCACTTAATTTTTCTGTCCAATTTATACAAATGTTGAAATAATATGTAATGTATGCACGCTCTTATATATTGTATTGTTAAATATGTTAAATGGAGAAGACTTCATAAGTCTGTTTGACTTGTGTCTCCTCCAATTTGTGTTTATGCAAATAAAATGTTTTAACTAAACCAATCTATATACATATATTTTATCAGTCCTGACAGTTTGTATAATTGAAGTGTAAAAATGTATTCCAGATTTTTAACATTTTTAAAGGCCCTAGATTTGTAATCGATATTCTGTAACTATGAAGGCATAGACTGGTCACTTTTGTGTTTTGCAACCAAACCGTAAATCCTGGATGATGAAGAAGTGTACTTTTCGCTTCTCTTCTTAATATTCCAGTAATATAAGCATCTTCTATAGGTATACTCGGCATATGATTGGATGCTGTTATGAGACTTTGTAGTAATGTTCTTGGTATAACATACGAGTTTCCGAACACATAAGGTGGATAAATATTGTGTGGATATAAGTCCAACGTCACCTTCCATCTCCCTTTGCGTTTTACCTCTCCACTTTCAACAACATGACCTATGATCCTTTCGGTGTGTACATTTTGACTAAGAAACAACAGGAGATTGGGCATTAATACAAGGGTATCGTCATCCACTTTCAACACGTATTTGGTATTTTTGCAGTTTTGATTAATCCAGTTTAATCCGATCAAAATTTTCAATGTCAGGTTCTCATATGAATCAATAAAGTTACTACATAAAATGTCTTGGAAAATTTCACTCTCGTGCAATATTGCTAATTCCTCGGTTTTATTTTTCCAACCACCTAATATAAAAATATGCTTAACTGTAAAATTTGGATGTAAGTTAGTCCAGACTGAATTAATCCAAGTGTTACGTATCGAATTGCGTTCTTCTTTGGCACCAAATGTTGACGGAATTAGAACGACTAAATATGGGGACGGATTGCAAACGTTTTCCAATAAATCAGAGTTTATTCTAAAAGAATCCGCATCATTTGTTTTCCTATTCATCATCCGGGTCTTTCTGGTTATTAACAGACTTCTGTTAAATGCGTTAAAGGCAATGTTTAATATACAAATAATTGTAAATAACGACAAAACTAAACACCATACATTGTGTGATATTCTCACAAAATAACGAGCATTTTTCATTGTCATATCATTGCACTAACGGACCAAGGAATTTATTAACTGCGATATATATATCTATATATTTATAAGAAAGCTAATTATGATACAAAGGTAAACTTATAATCTCGAAATAAACCCTTATCATATCCATAGTCATTGTTTCTAAGGGAGCTACCATTTGATTTTTATGGGGGGGGGGGGGGAGGGGTAAAAAAAAGTCAGGATAAAGTAATAAATAAAAAAGGCAGGACCGAATAGAGTGAAAAATAAATAGGCAGGACAGAAATCAGAAATTACAACTAAAAAAAATGCAGGACAAAATCAAAATTTTTCACCCCCCCCCCCCCCCATAGAAATCAAATGGTAGCTCCCTAAATTCTCACAGAAAATATGGATAGCTTTGATAATTTAGTTTTATGTCTTTCATGTCCGTCAGTTATGTCAACTTTGCAGTATGCTCCTCCATTTATTAAAAAGTCATGGACACTGAGGATAGTGGATTCAACAACTGCATGATATGTAAACACTGGACACTTTTAATTTGCAAAACACTCATTTGCAAATCCGCCGCCGCCTCTCCTTAGACCTACAGTGTCGTGTAAATAACCAAAATGTGCGGAATTACATGGGATTCAATAATTTCATTGCTTTTCTGCTGTTATTATTATATATATTTTGTAATTTGATTTAGAAAAACATGGGATTTTCAATATCCCATGGGATAAGGCAAATCCCATGGGATTGACCATTATCCCATGGGATTTTGGTTAAATCCCATGGGATTTTTTTGGGTCCCATGGGATAATTGTAGTCCCATGGGATATTTGTTGTCCCATGGGACAAAAAAAATCCCATGGGACTATAATTATCCCATGGGATTTTTAATATCCCATGGGACAAAATAAAATCCTATGATTCAAATTATAAATATACAGTAAATAAATGTGTATGTTACAATGAATTCTGTTTGGTAGTAAATTGTTTTAAGATGAATCTTTTTAGTTGAATATCTTTTTTTTCCTTGGAAATGTTAATGCAATTATATTGTTCTATAACTGTTCAAAACTAAACTTTTAAACAACAAAGCAGATAATGTAAGTATCAATATATGTTTATTCATGAATTCTAGAACACTTTTTTGAAACACAATTTTTTCCCATTTGAAATCAATGAAAACTCTATTAATAGGCTTAACATACTAGTAGCTTTTTACATAAATCTATTTTTTTTTCAGGATATCCCTCCACCCAAAAAATTAATAGTTTCTTATCATCCAGCATTGTGTGATCGTAATGTATAGTCCACTTTTTTGCCATTCAGCACAGAACATTGTCATTATTGTGGTTTTAATATCTTTAGATATTTAATAGAACTGCAATTCATTGGCTGAGTGATGAAAATAATAACTGATCTGACTTTTGTCTTTGAATTTATTTTGGTCTTGTTTCTGTGTTTTCTCCTTCTATTCTCAGTGATGAATTCCAATCCTTCTGAAAAAGAACCAATAATATCCGAAGTTATGGATAATAAAAAATTGTATACATACATGTAGCAAGAACATATGATTTTCAATAAAAATAGCTATGCGGTATGGATTTTACTGATTGTTGAAGGTTGTCCAGTGTCATCAGTTGCTAACCTCCTACATCCTTTGGTCTCTGATGGACAGTTGTCAAATTAGCAATATACCACATCTTCCTATTCTAATATTATATAACAATCAATTTATGTATTCTTCTTTATAACATTTGGGTATTTTCCCCAGTTATATATATATATAGATCAATGTTAAAACTTTAGGCAATTACAATAAAATTCCATTTTTCACAAGAATTTGCAATATATTATACAGAAAGCCAACAATAGAAACAGCACTTCTTTAAGCTTCTGAAGTTCTGAAAGAGTTCCACTTGTGTTTTATTTCAATTAGAAAATACATTGAACTCTTTGGACATGTTGGAAATTATAACATTGATACAAAAAATTATATTGGGTTTTTTTTCTTATTTTTGTGTTGTTCGGGTGCTGTCTCATTTTTATATATGGTTATACATATATCCTAAATCTTCTTTTTTATATACTTAATCATTAATACACAATGTAGTAAAAATGGGATATTTTTTATTTTGAGAATCTCAAAACATTATTATTCTATCAAATAACTTATTTCCAAGTTCACCAAACACCAATGTGTCAGATATTAATTTTAAGACATGTATAAACATGATCAACAAGCAGTTGACAGGATGTCATGCAAAAATCTCACTAATATTAAACTTTCACAAAAACTCCATACTCAGCGAGTACTATTAAAGTTCTTAGTACAGGACAAATTCCTAGTACAGGACACAATGCCTGGCAAACACTAGCATGTGTCAATGTCTAGTCAATCATGTTATCAGGCTCAAAATCTTATTTTGGCACTGAATTTAAAAATTCACCACATAATGAGCATGTGCATGAAATTCAACTTCATGGTAAGCTATGTACCTTAACCTAAAACTTTAACCTAAGAATGTACTATAATTTCACATTATGACATTTCTATGTTCAGTGATCCATAAAATCAGGGTAAAAACAGTAAATGTGGTGTTTAATGTACACAAGAGTGCACACACTGAAATGTTGCGCCTTCTTTACTAATCATTGATATCATGTTGATAGTCCTAAATATAAAGCTTTACTACAACTATCACATAAACTCAACATGATCCAAGAAAAGGAATTCAAGGTCATATAAACCTGACAAGAAATATATGTACACCTTACAATCATTCAAATTACTAAATACAGTTGAACTACCGGTATTGCTTATAGTTTCTAAGAAGCAGACTTAACCAAGAAAACTAAACATTGACCAATGAACCATGGAAATGAGGTGAAGATCAGATGAACCATGCCAGGCAGACATGTACAGCTTACAATCCTTCCATACAACACATATAGTTGACCTATTGCTTATAGATTAAGAAAAACAGACCAAAACACAAACACTAAACACTGAGCAATGAACCGTGAAAATAAGGTCAAGGTCAAATTAAACCTGCGGGACTGACATGTACATCATAAAATGTTTCCATACACCAAATATAGTTGACCTATTGCATTTAGTGTTAGAGAAAAAGACCAAAACTCAAAAATTTAACTTTGACTACTGAACCATGAAAATGAGGTCATGGTCAGATGACACCTGCCAGCTAGACATGTACACCTTACAATCATTCCATACACCAAATATAGTAGACCTATTGCATACAGTATAAGAAAAACAGACCAAAACACAAAAACTTAACTATAACTACTGAACCATGAAAATGAGGTCAAGGTCAGATGACACCTGCCAGTTGGTCATGTACACCTTACAGTCCTTCGATACACCGAATATACTAGACCTATTGCTTAAAGTATCTGAGATATGGACTTGACCACCAAAACTTAACCTTAAATATAAAAAAGAAGATGTGGTATGATTGCCAATGAGACAACAATTCTACACAAGAGACCAAATGACACAGAAATTAACAACTATAGGTCACCATACGGCCTTCAACAATGAGCAAAGCCCATACCGCACAGTCAGCTATAAAAGGCCCCGAAATGACAATGTAAAACAATTCAAACGAAAAACTAACGGCCTAATTTATGTACAAAAAATGAATGAAAAACAAATATGTAACACATAAACAAACGACAACCACTGAATTACAGGCTCCTGACTTGGGACAGGCACATACATACAGAATGTGGCGGGGTTAAACATGTTAGCAGGATCCAAACCCTCCCCCTAACCCGGGACAGTGGTGTAACAGTACAACATAAGAACGAACAATAATAAAATGCTCCGCTGGGCGCAGCTTGATACGACCGCAGAGGTCGAACCCTGAACAGTTGAGGCAAGTATGGACACAACATTCAAGCTTGATACAGCACTGAATTTGGATTGTGATAAAATATTTAACACAGCATAGGTTTCTGACACAAAAGGAATGTGGTCTAAGAACTTAAAAAATTTTAATTTACCTATTCAAACCATATCATAATTATTTGCTTTTATATATAAATCAGAAATAACCAATTTAAAATGGAAAATTTAAAAAGGAAAAAAAAAAGGAAAAAAAATCTCCCCCCAATTTTTTTAACCCCCTTATGATTCATCACCCCAAAACTCAATAACAGCCTTCCCTTTGTGGTATGGTACCTTGCAGTACAATTTCAGAGAGATTCATACACTGAACCATGAAAATGAGGTCAAGGTCAGATGACACTTGCCAGTTGGTCATGTACACCTTACAGTCCTTCCATACACCGAATATACTAGACCTATTGCTTAAAGTATCTGAGATATGGACTTGACCACCAAAACTTAACCTTAAATATAAAAAAGAAGATGTGGTATGATTGCCAATGAGACAACAATTCTACACAAGAGACCAAATGACACAGAAATTAACAACTATAGGTCACCGTACGGCCTTCAATAATGATTCATACACTGAACCATGAAAATGAGGTCAAGGTCAGATGACACCTGCCAGTTGGTCATGTACACCTTACAGTCCTTCCATACACAGAATATACTAGACCTATTGCTTAAAGTATTTGAGATATGGACTTGACCACCAAAACTTAACCTTAAATATAAAAAAGAAGATGTGGTATGATTGCCAATGAGACAACAATTCTACACAAGAGCCCCTAATTCCTAAAATTTTGAGGCAATTACCCCCAAAATCAATCCCAGCCTTCCCTTAGTAGTATGGTACCTTGCAGTACAATTTCAGAGAGATCCATACACTTGAACACAAGTTATTGTCTGGAAACTAGAAAAATGCTTATTTTTGGCCCCTTTTTCCTAAACGTTTTGGGCAATTACCCCCAAACTCAATTCCAGCTTTCTCTTTGTGATAAGGAACCTTGTAGTACAAATTCAGAAAGATCCATACACTTACACACAAGTTATTGTCATGAAAATAGAAAAATGCTTGTTTTTTGCCCCTTTTTTGGCCCCTAATTCCTAAAATTTTATAGCAATTGCCCCCAAAATCAATCCCAGCCTTCCCTTTGTGGTATGGTACCTTGAAGTACAATTTCAGAGAGATCCATACACTTACACACAAGTTATTGTCCTGAAACTAGAAAAATTCTTGTTTTTTGCCCCTTTTTGGCCCCTTATTCCTAAAATTTTGAGGCAATTACCCCCAAAATCAATCCCAGCCTTCCCTTTGTGGTATGGTACCTTGCAGTACAATTTCAGAGAGATCCATACACTTGAACACAAGTTATGTCTGGAAACTAGAAAAATGCTTATTTTTGGCCCCTTTTTGGCCCCTAATTCCTTAACTGTTGGCATCATAACCCCCAAAATCAATCCCAACCTTTCTTTTGTGGTATTGAACCTTATGGTAAAATTTCATAGAGATCCATTCACTTAAACTAAAGTTAGAGTGCGAAAACCAATGTGTCTTCGGACGACAACACCGACGACAACATCATACCAATATACGACCGCAAAAAAATCAGTTGAAAGAGGCTTAACTCATCAGATGGATAAAAATACAAATACTACAAATACAAGTGGACGTGGCCGGGTACTTGTACATCCAAACAACAAAAAGACACTAAGTACAGATCTGAGAGTACTCGCAGTTACTGACAGCTAGTACAAAGCCACTAACAACTAATAAAAAAAATCATGCATCTAAGACTAAGTTCTTGTTCACTGATCCATGAAATGAGGTCTAGGTCAAGTGAAAACTCTCTGACGAGCATGATGACATTGCAAGGTACGAACATACCAAATATAGTTATCCGATTACTAATAATATGAGAGAAATTAACATTACAAAAAATCTGAACTTTTTTTTCAAGTAGTCACTGAACCATGAAAATGAGGTCAAGGACAATGGACATATTTCAGACAGAATTCGTATCATGAGGCATCTATATACAAAGTATGAAGCATCCAGGTCTTCCACCTTCTAAAATATAAAGCTTTTAGGAAGTTAGCTAACGCCCACTGCTAACGCCACCGCCATAGCCGCCACCGGATCAATATCCCTATGTCGAGCTTTCTGCGACAAAAGTTGCAGGCTCGACAAAAATACATGAACATTTTAAAGTACTAAATTTTGAGTATATACATGTAAAACCACAAGTTACTAACTGAAGTTCATGGTGAACTGTAACCAAAAACTTAAAGTGAATACAATTTAGAGAACGACAGATGGATGCACAAACACTATCATAACAGAGCATAAAACTTACCAAACAAGATGTTTTACATTTATCCTTCAGAAGCAGGAAAACTGAAGTGTTTCTTTTCTTTCTCTGCCCTCCAGGATATAAACTTCAAATTCATTCATGCAAAATATGAAAATCTGCAAAAGTTGGACTTTGTACCGCAGCTTATCCACATTTTGACTTTTGAACTGCATTGTTCTTTTCATCTTGCTGGCAACCTAAACATAAAAAAAAATGATAAACACATAATTCTGGATTAACTTTCTGTATTTATTTTTGTTGGTACAAACAATTTTTTCCAACTTTAAACTAAATCTGCCTCTGCTTTAAAAATCAACTGAAAACCATGTATTTATCTTAATTGAAAACAATTTCTCTCATTTGTATCACCCTGTTATTATATATAAATTTTATTTTTGTCCCTTTTTAAAAATAGGAATGGTTCAAATTCCTCAATAATCATGATAATTCTAGTCAGTCAATTAAAAATGTATGAATAAATTATTTAACCTGTATACTATCATGACTATTAATATAAATATATTTCATTTTTGATAAAAACCAAGCTCTGTGTTGAAGACCATACCTTGACCTATAATGGTTTACTTTTATAAATTGTGTGACTTGGATGGAGAGTTGTCTCATTGGCACTCATACCACATCTTCCTATATCTACAAACAGATTCTATGGGCGAGCAGACATTATACCCTGGAGGTGGTTTTAAAAAAAGCATACGACTTAGATGTACCATAAGCATGGAAAAACAATTCAGCAGTCAGTTTCACAAAAAAACTTACAAATAATATTGATAGTAATTAAGTCATGTACAATACAGTATACCTGAGACTACTATAACACAATTAATTACTATTTGACTGGTCAGTACGGGAAGTGACCAATCTCTGTGTTATAGTAGTCTCAGAGTATACTTACGATAAATTGTAGGTTTTTTTTTTTTGTAAAACCGACTCAAGTATACTTATAATCAATCTTAGTCATAAGTATTAAGTATTATTCATCTTTTGGATAATTTGTTGGTTTATTTTATGAATATACAGTGGCAGATCCAGAACTTTTCATAAGGGAGGGCCGGCTCCAGTCATGCTTCAGTGATCCCTATATAATCAACAAAATTTTTCCCAAGAAAGCCCCCCCCCCCCGGATCAGCCTATGATATATGTTTATATATCTCTCTGATATGCCATTCAAATCAAATGTGTATTAAATAAAACTTTACACTAGAAAAGTCATGGATAGTTACTCATTTGGGAAACTTACAAGTCCACAGCATGCCGGTGCCTGTGACTGTGTTCAAAGTGGTGGGTTTTCACCCTCGTTGTATTGCGGAATAACAATTTAGGCAAATTGAGAAAAACATCATGTCTGTGGTTGATAATAGTGTGTGTGCATTAATTTAATTTTCTATACCTTCTTATTTAATATTTTTCCAATTTTGAGTACTGACGGCAAGTGTTGTAACCAATGTCTTAATTGAGACCAATGTGCTATTTACAAGTGCGATCGAAAAATGCAGGGGAAAGAAACTTATCAATTATGTTTATTCTTAAGACAAAACTGAGCCGCCGTAAAAATGAACCGTGTCGAGTAGGTTACTGACACGTAATAGGGCAGAGACATATTTACACATATGTGTATATATGTCTCTGTAATAGGGTCATCCCTCGAGAACATTAACTAGTACATTGATAGTTTACTATGCAGTCAGTATCCCGAAAAAAAAACCGTATGGATGCAAAACGCTTAGTGGTTTCGGCTGACTACTAATACGTGCACTTTGTCTAAAAAATATCCCAGCAGCGTAAAAGTTGAAGTCAGGATCTTGGGGGGGTCTTCTTTTTCTGTGTTCTTTATTTTTTTTTTTGCTATATTTCTACAAACTTACACTTTTTGCTCATTACTCTCTTTCCTCATATTTTAGCATTTCATTATTCTTTAATCTTTATTGTTTGCCCGTTATTCTCTATTCTGTTAACCCCCATCCATACTTAAGCTTTCGGTAGTTTATTTTATCCTATTTCTGTCTAAATACATTATTTATCACAAAACACAAACTTACTTAATAATTTTTTATGAAGTCCTCACCAGTTGCGGATCCAAAAAATGTCATAAGGAGGCACTAACTGTCATGCATAAAGAGGGGGCCCGCTTCATTGATTCTCTAAATAATCAACCAATTTTTTTCCAAAAAAGGGGCGGCCCCCCATGCCCTCACCTTAATCCACCTCTAAACCCTTCCCACTTCGTATCCTTGAATTCAGATTCAAGATCTCTCTGACAAAAGTAAGTAAGTAAGTCACATTTGCTTATATCAGGTTTTTGAATTGAACTGGCGGATAGTTGTTTCATTACCAATCGTACCACATCTCCTTATTTATATATATACGAAAGCTTTATTCATATTTTTTGGTGTATTGATGAATGTGTAAAGGTGCAGCAATTGTAATACATTTTAAAATACAGCACAAGAGATGCAGATTATATAAAACCAATCTCACTATACAAATCCTTGATAAAACTTATAAGTCGAAGACATACTGACAAACGCCATGGCAAAAACTTAAAAACGACCAAATGACGTACAACAGTATATAAAACTTGACTATAGCATTTAAAACACATAAGAAGCACCCAGACAGTCAAACAGAAATTAAAAGAATAAATAATTTGTAAAGATTTTCACCTAGGCCTACAGCTATATTTTCTTATCGGCTAAACATAGGTTCTGGTATTATGTGATAAGTCATTTTTTCATGCAGACCCAGTTTTATTGATACCTTGAACTTAAAGTGGTTTTATGCATATCAGCCCAGATTATGTGTGTAATTTTATTGAACAATTCAACAATACACGTTCTAAACAGGTTAAATTCAATTTAAAAATTTACAAATTCAGATCTACTGGCATTCAACACCCAATTACTTACTTGCTGTATATTGCTAACTTTGATTGTATATTGTCAATCCCTCCACATCGTGAATACGCCATGCGAGGTGTTGGATAAGTTTGATACAGGGATACAAATTCCTAAATTTGTACTTAACTCCGTTCTACGGGTAACATGGTTGTTTGATATGAAAATAAGATAAAAAGCATCCGGAAAAATTAATTATCACGTTATAAGTATTCATAAATGGATATGAAAAAACTTAACAAGGAATAAGTATTGGTAAACGGACAGAAAGTCGCAGGACAAAGGTTTAGATTAATTATTTTACAATTGTTTAAATATATGAGAGAAAGTTCTTGACGAATTGACTTTATTTATAGATAAATGTTTTTAGTTGAGGAAATGATTAATTCGCCTTCAAATAGTTTTTTTTTATCAATAACTTGTAAAAAGGAGACATTTTTGACAGCATGACTTCAGTTAATTACCAAACCACTTTTGCAGGTTGTTTTCTTAACAATCATTGTTCATATTAATAATCAAAAATAAATTTTGTTTACAAGTCCGTTTCCTTTTAAAAATGTTTCAGAAAAATACTGAAACGTTTTTAAAATTAAGTTTATTCAAAAAAATATCCCAAAACTGAATCGTGACTTTTTACTTGTTACTTTTTGTTGAACGTTCTAAGTGTCAATCCTAGCAAACAAAAATTTGGAAATAAAATCGATTACAATGTAATTTTATAGAAGGAAAAAGGGGGGTTAATGAACAAATTATTACTATACACTCACATACTTCTAAAAAGATTTGCATATGTAAGCTGTCTATATTATAGATAATGTTAAATTATTTCAGGAGTTTCAATTTATTTAGTAGAAAAAAAAGATTATAAACAGTTTAGTTTTCAACGCCTACTACTACAAAAAATAGTGATTCTTTTTGTAGATTTGGTACTTCAGTTTCGACTCAAAATTTCCTATTGTAATTGTTAGATGCCAAATATTTAGGAGAAGATTGTATTTGTACTTTATGTAATTGTGGTGATATTGGCGACGCGATTCATTATATTATAGCAAGGATTTGTAAAAATCCTTGATTATAGAATGTTCGGCAATAGACGAAAGTAGACAAACCCTATTTAAACGGGGTTTTGATCTCCAAGGACGCCACATTTTACATCGAATAAGATCTATATTTGTTAACGTTTTCAAATGAAATAACTTGAATTGAAAATTTCCCGACAATGTGAAGATTTCTTATATTTCTAAATGGCTTCAATTATTACATACAAAATGAAAAATGTATTTAACTTTTTTTGTAAAAACAATATTCATGTATTTTTATATTTTTTCCAAGGAAACGTTTTTTTTTGTTTGTTTGTTTGCAAAGTTTACTTGTATGTGTTTATAACCATCACCAATCATTCCTAATTATTAAAGATCAAACGTTGTAATCAAAATGATGATTGGTATTGAATATGATCATCGGTCATGCATGACGTATCCCAAATAACTTCTTTAATGTTGGTTTGATTTTATCAAAACCAAAATTATAAGATCAAATATTAAATTATCTATCGAATGTTTACCCTCAACGCTCACTAAAACATATATACATGTCCTGAGTGACTTTTTATGTCCTGTCTGCACTCAGGAGGTCCTGAGCGGTTTTTAGACGTACCGTTAATTTACAGGCATATATTTGAAGCTGTTCTTAATTATGTACTTTATCTATAGGTATACATGTATCAGACAAAAAGACTTTCCAATGAACTTAGTTCTAGTTATCTTAGTTCCTAGTCACAGGCACTTGTCTCAGAAAAAAAATGTCCTATATACTTTTAATGTTATATTAAGCAGGGACTTTCTATACTAAGTTAGTATAGAAAGTCCCTGTATTAAGGTATATAGGAAACAAAATTCTGAGACAAGTGCCTGTGGTCCTAGTGTGAAATAAATCCACTGGGAATTGGCCTTTTTAAACACATCTTTATATACGTTTTCTCAAGGGTTTGTACATGTAAAGTGAAATTATGTTTACTCAATGCGTAGTTACATAAGTTTATTTGCTACTTTTTTCTTCTTTATTTTATATAAATGATTTTTTTTTTTAATTTTAACATTTTTTTCTTCGAAAGAATTGTAGTGTGGGAATAGACACAGATACTTAACTACATTTAACGAAAAAAAATTTGTGTAATGTCATCAATCTGTATTACACATAGACAGGATGTTCTCTAGAAAACTATGATATTTCTAATACGTTATACACACCCCAGGGTACACGCACTGTCGTGATGGAAAATTACTGCATGCTTTAATTACCTGTAATCAGCCATGCAACAAATCAGTTGACTGACCATGTCATTACAGTTTAAAAAGTTTTTCCTCAGATCAAAACGGAATATTCATTTTAACTTTAAAATTTAAAACTTTAAAAAGTAAACTTTGATATAATTATGACGTTAAAGAATTTAACAATTTAATAATCGGATTTTCCCAAAGATTAAGATACAATTATATTTATTATTCTGGGACTGACAGATATATCACAGGCACTTGTATCAGAATTTTTTTCCTATATACTTTTATTAAAGTATATAGGATTTTTTTTTCTGAGACAAGTGCCTGTGAGAAATATACATGCATAAGTCCCAGACATATATAATTGTAAATCAAAATGATTTACATAATTACTGAGAAATAATATAATGTTTCAGTTATGTTGATGTCACAAATACACATGAATTATTTGATGATGCATGATGGAATTTCTTATCTAACTGCATGACGGTGACCACAGACATATATATATATCCATTTACTAATTCTATAATTTCTTGAGAAAAAAATCAGGAGGGAAGTCAGAGGGAAGTGAAACAAACATTTCAAGCTTTTATTAAAAATTGTTGGGAAAACTATAAAATACGACACTGAGTTTTGAAAAAAAAGTTTATGATTGGTCTTAATTTTTTTTTTAATAGAGAAAGAAACAATTTTTTGTCCCAAGAAAAAAAAACAATGCCCCCTTTTTAGCCAAACCGACACACGCCGATGAATGAAGAATTCCAAGTAAGGTCACAAGGTCACATTTTAAAACTTTTTCAGTCGCCCAGTCTCAAAAAGCAATTTTGACTGGCATTGTTTTTAGTCGAATTATGTTTTTGCAGGTCAGGTTGCAAAGTGGCAGGTCGCGATCGGATTTGCCGCGGACAATGTCATGTTGACAACGGTCCTAAAAAATATCCGAAAAAACGTTGAATCAAACGATATGAACCTACGCAGTTTTATATTATAAGACTGACACACACCAGTGTGCTAACTGTGCTGGGTGAGGTGCTGTAACTTGATATACATGTATCATTAAGTTACAGTACTGTTAGGATTTGCCTGCCTTTTTACAGGGTCTTTCTATACTAACTGTTAGTATAGACTGCCCCTGGCTTGAAAGTATGGTTCTCTGCTCATCAACGGTTGCGTGATTAGCAATTTAAATATCTTGTAGCAGTAAAATACCTCCGGGGGGGGGGGGGGAGGGGCACTTCAATACTTAATTGATAGGGGGTGTCGCTGGGGTTCTGTTACCCCACCCTATTCATATAATTTAGATCTTAAAAATGTATTATACCTTTTCATATATTGCGAGGGTAAAATTGTAACCTTTTCCCATATTGGTTGGTTTTCGTGGGGTGTGTTGGAAAAGTGGAATATTTAAGGCTAAGATTCTGTATGTAATGTTTACTTACGGCGAGACTTTCGGCTGTGAAAAAAATGACAGGGCTTTTCATCAACAAGTAATTGGAACTTTATCGACCTTATCATATATTTCTGATAGTTTTCCCCACCTATTCCCATATTTTCAAGCTGGAAAAATTCATATCACCTTGTATATAGGAAGTGCCCCCCCCCCCCCCCCCCCCCCCCTTTCCCCCCGAGTAAAATACACAAATGTATAATACCTTAATTCAGGAGCACAGTCTGTCTTTACCGTAAATAACTTCGAGATTAATATGTAAGTTTACTTTGCTAATCGATGTTCCTGTAATTCAGATTTAAATTTTTTGTGAGACCCCCGTCACTATTTATATTCACTCAAAGAAAGGGGTTCTCCGTTACTGGGAAAATCCAAGGACGTATTGTGTTAGTTATACGTCCTTGGAAAATCTTATCTGATTCAGGATCAATTTATCGGTTACACTCCCCTATCACCAGTGATTCTTTGTGAACTGACATTCTGAAAAAGGTATACTGTTGACTATCAATTTGCATGATTAGTTACAGATGTCGACTCGGACTACTGCAGAAGACAATAATTCAGTTCACTGATTTAGATTGAATAGTGGTTCGGTTAATCCCCTCTTCCCCAAACAAGTAAGAATTAGGTTACATCTTTTGGTAGTCCAAATAATTATGACGTCTAGCAAGGCTATTTTATTATTTTTATGCCCCCGCTGTAGCGGTGGGGGCATTAAGTTTTACCCTTGTCCGTCTGTACGTACATACGTCCGTACGTTCCAAAATTGGTTTCCGTTCTCTAACTTGAGTTTGCCTCAACCAAATGTTAAACGTTAAAGTAAAAACTTATACACAATGCTTATTACCACAAAACACAGATCAAGTTTGAATTTTGGTGGCGTCACTTTAACCGTTCTAGAGTTATGCCCCTTTATAAATGGAAAAATTGCTAAATTTTTAGTTTCCGTTCTCTAACTTAAGTTTGCCTCAACCAAATGTTATAAAACTTATACACAATGATTATTACCACAAAACACAGATCAAGTTTGAATTTTGGTGGCGTCACTTTAACCCGTTCTAGAGTCATGCCCCTTTATAAATGGAAAAATTGCTAAATTTTTATTTTCTTCTAAATATCAAGTAATTTTTAAAATTGGAATTATCTCCCTTTGTCCATTATTATAGTTGAATCAACTACAATCAATGCTTTATACAATGCAATGTTTAATTTTGACTTCCACTGATAAAACACAGATCAAGTTGAATTTGGGTAGTTTCACTTTAACCATTATTGAG